TTTATGGAAGTTAAAAATGTCAGTGTGCCCAAGTCCATTACATCATTCATAGAGGGTCTGTGTGAGAACTCAGCGAGTCAGGTTTCCTGCACGGGGTGATGGAGAGGGTGACTAAGATGTCGAACATTCTCTGTGCTCTTTCTAACATTGCTGTTTGCGGGAGATCGAGAAGTCAAGGCACATTCTGGAGAGTTCACTTATTTTGATAGAGGCAGATGGCTAGGTCATGAAAATTTGTTGACATGCTTTAGTGAACTACATTAGATTGTGTGTGTGTGTGTTTTAAAAAGGTAAATTAAAGGGCTTGAAGAGACCCAGGAAGAGACAAGGTACATGCTTTTTTCACTGATGTGACAAGACATATAAACTTAAAACTGTAGGGCAAACGAAGGGTATGGCTAAGCTGTCTGAAGGGTTGTGAAGTGGATTCAAACCGGGCTTGCACATTCGGCATATGGAAGCTGATGGTCGCGTTCATTTCTCATCTCAGAACTCATCCAAGACATGGGGATCTGGGAAAGTCAGTTTTAGGAGAGATTCGCAGACTTTCATGAGAACCAGTGCTGACTTAAATTCCTGCAGCTGCTTTTGGAATGCACCTCACTGAGCTCCAGCTCAGTTTAGACTCCCTGTTCTGCAAGATTGTGGGAAGGATTCAATTGGACAGTATTTATAAAGCTTCCATCCAGTTCCTGGTGCACACTAAATACTTGGCAAAATGAGGTTCCCCCAGGCCCCTCATGAAAAAAAAAATAACTGTATTAATGGAGGAAAAGGAATTATTCCAGAGATGATAAAGCATCGCTGCTGCCAGGGACCTTCTAACATTTTCTGTTTCTACCAGTTTTTACTGGAGACAACCCCGAAATGAACTTTTCCCTTTTAACAGTAACTGCAAGTATGTGGGAAAGGCAGATTTTCCTCCTTTGCTCTCTGAGTTCTTTAAACGATAGATGGTACCATTGAGCACATTAGTCCATGTATATTCTTGCCCACAGGGTTTGTTTGGAAGTGGGAATAATGAGGCAGAGGCCATAGTCACCAAGTGACAGAACTTATGCCCATTGTGCCCAGGACAGTGTTAAGAATAAGCAGAATCAAGGTGTGATGAGAGTCTGTTTATTCCCAAGAAACCAAGAACCAAAAGCCACCTATAACCTCAGACATTCCAACAGAGCAGGCTCATGGTTTGGTTTGGTTTTTCATCCCCGTACTCTATGTAGGCTAAAAACAAAAATTACAGAACCCTGGCCGGGTAGCTCAGTTAGTTAGAGTGTCATCACAATATACCAAAGTTGCGAGTTTGATCCCTGGTCAGGGTACATACAGGAATCAACCAACGGGTGCATGAATAAGTGCAACAGCAAACCAGTGTTTCTTTTCTCTCTCTCCCTCAAAAAATCACTAAATAAAAAAAATTATACAATGGACGAAGAAGCAGGTATGCAGTTCTCATGGAACACCTGTTTAATGAGGACCTGCCTGGGTGCACGGTGCTGCAGAGATCGGTCTGGCGGTGAAGAATGGACAGATAGCCACACTCTGACAGGGGCTGTGAAGGCCCTAGGAGATGCATGCAGAGCACTCACTGAGAAAAAAAAAGTGCTTCAGCTTTAGATGTTTTGACTTCTGGTTTTATTACTTGGACTTTTTAGAGGCATAGTCTGACTCAAGACTAGCCAAAGCAGCATCTTAATTGAACCAGTAACAGCTTTTGGGACAACCAAATATAATTAACTTTGATGTTTTTGAATTCCTTCTTCCATTCTTTGGTTTGCCTGTGCTTTGATCCCTAATGATGTGTGCATAATGAATTACACTACAAGAGAAATGTCTGTGTTCATATTAAATATTACCAGACCATTCTTTTCACTGAGTGTTGGGCATTTTTGAATAACGGTAAGATGGATTGGTAAGGAACACTCTGTACTCTGGTAAGTATGTTTTAAAAAAGCAGCCAATAACATCACAAATTCAGGGTTGGAATAAGCTTGCTACCATGGCCTAGACAAATTATTTGTGATGTTAGAAAATGGAGCAGGGTATAGAAATAGACTCAAAAGATAATTAAGTGAAAATATATTTACATCAGTCTTGAACCAAGCTTACTACCTATTTCCCTGGATCTATTTTTCACCTGTGATAGTACTGATTTAGAGAATAGTTGGAAGTCCACTAGGTGCTCATTTTCCCACAACTTTCTTTTATTCCCTTTTTTGCTGTACATTAGAAGTTAACAATATAAAGATGTGACCTATTACTAAGGAATCAGAAGATATGTACTGTGGCTCTCTGGTCACTTGTTGTTCGAGTCACTCTGGGAAAGTTCCTTAACTTCCCTGAACCTCACCTTTCTCATCTATACAACGGACATGCCTGGCCTACCCAATTCATCGCTGTGGGACCAAATGAGATAAATGTATGTGGAAGTACTTTGGCGACTTTAAAATTCTTTATAAATAGGATTTTATAATTGTACATAGAGGAAGGCAGTCCAGACTAAGCTGATTAGCATGCATGCTACTTTTTCAAGGCCTAATCATTTATCTCATAAACATATAAGAAAAGTTTCCTTCTCTAGGTCTCTGCTTCCTATGTTAGGAACTCCATTTCCCTGTCTTATCACAATATCTATTATTTTGGAACCTGTAGCTATTACGTGAAAAACTCACTATTTTAGGGAGTACGCTGACAAATTGCTTGAAAATTATTGCTGGTTTAGATAAGCCGTGGTCAGTTAGAGAAAGCAAATACTACTTTCTTTTTCTTTTATGTTTTCCCCTTTTCCTTTTTCCTCTGTTCCTCCCTCTCCCAACTTTTTGGAACATATATACTAACATTTTGGCATATCTGCCCAGATTTTTAGATCAAATTGTGATTACAGGAATTTGGATCCATCTTATCTAGAATATGATATTTTACATTTTATTTTCAAGATAGATAAGCTGAATTATAAACATGTGTCTAATCATTTTTTGCTTTTGAGGCTAAAGAACCTGAATAAATATCACTGTTTATTTTGACCTTGTACCCATTAGGTATGTTGACATCAAGTACTCATGCAATTTTGTTTGCATTTTGGTATTTTTTTTTTGATTATTACCTTACTGGGTTTTAGTTTAGGAAGGTGGCTTGAAGCAGTTGCCTCTGTCAGGTTTCCCTGATTGCTTCATTATGAACCATGCCCACTCATTTTTCAGGTAAAAATTATTAACCCATCAGACATAGTCCTTGTAGGAGGTATATGGTAAGCATTAGATTAGCTTGCTGGCATTTAGAAATGCTCATTCCCCCCCCCCCCCCTTTGTTTTGTTCTGCGTGGCATCAAATTTACACTTGTCCTTTTCTCTTAGAGACAAGTTGTGGGGAGGAAAAGACAAGATCATAACATTAAGATTGAATGTGTTTCTCAATCTTCACATTCTTAACTGGTTTCTTTGATGCATTTGAGTTTGCTATAAGATGTTAGGGGAGGAAGGAAGGCAACCAGTGATAATCAAAGGGGAAGAAAGATCAGTGTAGGACTCAGTGACATTTGAGGCTAAGTTTTGGAGCTGTTGCAAGAGTTATTGCTGCCTGCAACTGTTTGGTCTGGCTGCATGTCAGAGCCATTAACTTCAGAATAACAGAGCCTTTAAAAGAATGTACTCTTTTAGAAAACTCCTCATTAATTTAATTTATGGAAGGGGAGAAGAGTTAGGGAGCAAAGAGCTGGGAATCATGGGGTTTCAAGAGTGCCTGGACTTTAGGTTAGGGACACACACACACACACACACACACACACACACACGTGCGCGTGCAAGCATGCTGTGGATGCTGGATTACATGAAAAAATAGAAGTCCCCAGCTCTGCCCCTAGTGTTGTTTTGAAAGGGCCTGTCTTGCTCGAGATGGAACTGCCTCCTCAGCGATGGCTTTAGGAACTCAGTCCCTAACGTGGATCCCAGCTGGGAAATGCTTGACTTCAATTAAGCTTCGGTTTGTTTTGATTCTCTTCCAGACTTGTGGTTGAAGGGCTTTGTGTATACAGTCTTTGCCTAACAACTTTTCCCACAGTCAGGAGCAGGCACCTCGGCAGTGTCGGTTCTTACCTGCAAGGCTTTGGCCACCGTCTCCCAGGAAATGGCAGACTTGTGTACATGCACACCTCTTTCTCTGGTCCCTGACACGGCCTTCCCCACATTTGGAGGACGGAAGGAACAAAGCTGTCATTACTGATAGAAGAATGGGAAAAGACAGCGGTGTCCGGGTCCATGTAGCCACAAGAACATGCCAGGAATAGCCATTTCTCTTTCCCTTAACTGTGTTTTGCCCTGCACTCTTCTGCCAGGATGGAAGAGGGTAGGTAGGGTAAGCTGGATGGAGACAACATTTTTAAATGTAAACTTAACCATTGAAAATACTTGCTGAGTCTACCTACTATTAGTCATGTGTTAAGATCCAAAGGAAGGAAGGATGTCATCATACCAAGTCATTGGAAGGCAGTGATGTTGTTGCCATGGTGCTGTGTATACAGAAGGATAGCAGAGGAAAAACACACTGACAGCCCAGTGTGTGGCCTGTGGAGGCCAAGGGAAACCAGTTAGGCAGTTGCATTTTGGTAGAGAATTACAGAGTGGATAATGTTTGCAAGGTTTTGGAGTACAAGTGGGACCTTCATGTAGAAGGAATATGGTGGAAAGTGGTAGGGAGAATGGAGGGGTGTGTCCACAAGTAGCTCACGATTTCTATACGTCATTCACTTGTTCACGTAATACATATTTATGGTACATCATCTTTGTACCAAGTGCTGTGGGCAGTGCCAGGAATAAAACTGGTGAGTAAGGTAGACATTTTTTTGACCCTGCCTCAGGTTTATTTGCACAAACACTGCAGGAGGACCCCAGCCCTGGGGCACACAGTCCTTCTGTCCTCACATTGGCAGACAGAGGCCTCTACTATGGAGCCTTCGTAGGGGACTGGGCACCTTTGGGAGCCTGAGACTGAGCCTGAGCTGGAGCCTAAGCTACAGATGCATCTGCAGCCTGGGGCTTGGTTTGGGCCTTGGCCTTTGGCCAGCAGAGCCAGAGACCCTTGGTGATGCGGGTACAAGCATGTTTCCTGAGCTTCAGGTGAGCAATGCAAGTAAGTCCACTGAGCTTATGACTGCTGCCCTTTGGGATCTTGAGATTGACCTCCTTGGGCTTGATCAGAGCCTTGATAGCCTCAGCACGTGTGCTCATGGCCTTGACATTGTTGGCCTGCATCTTCTTCAGGCCCTTCTTGTTGTGCTTCTTGGAAAAGCACATGTTCCTCAGGAACTTGGGGTCTACCCCCTTGAGAGATTCATATCTTTGTGAGTGGGGTCTTTTGATGCCATTTCTGTGCCATTTTTGGGACTGGTTGTGTGTGGTATGGTTCTTGCACTTGGCCATCTCTGTACCCAAGCCCGCAGCTCTTGAAGCGCCTGGGGTGGGAAGAGCCAAGCTAGACATTTAATACAGGTTTGTGATGGATTTGGTGTGGGAGGAGGTCGTAAGGTGCCTGACATGTAAAACTAGATTGATAGAAGTCCACATACCAAGGAGGAGACCTGCGCTTGGAGGAGGGGCAAGGGTGGGCATGATGATGAAGCAGTTTGGCTAAACTTCCTTGACATCTAAAGGAGATGTGAAGTGGGTGGTTGGGTTTATAGCTTTGGAGTTCAGAGCAGGGGTCTGAGCGGGGAATACAAACTTGAGGAGATAAAAGTATATAGATGGTAATTGATACTGTGGGTGAGACTGACTAGTCAAAGAGCAGAGAATAAGAAAGAAAGAAGGCCTATGGGCCAGGGTCCCTGAACCACACCATTTTGTGGCCAGGTAGAGGGTATGAACTCATAAAGGCCACTGAGAATAAGGAACGGAAAGTGTAAGAAAACCAGGAGAGTGTGTTTAGATAAAAGTCAAGGGAAGGAAGGTCGTGTTAGGGAGGAGAGACCAACTGCAGCTAGAACATGAGGAAAGCCAAATGTCTACTGGACTGAGAGACATGAAGGTCACCATTGCTCTAATTAGAGTTGTTTCTGTGGAGTGACTGGTGTGGAAGGTAGATTGAGAGATGAGGCTTTTGCTTTGGGTCTGTTGTGCAAATTCATGGGACAGTTTTTTGGGGGGTCATATGTGGTTGGAGGACACTGCTGGCATTTAGTGAGGGAGCCCAGTGTGCTGGGATCTGGCAATGCACACAGGTCAGCATGAGGAGTTGTGCTGGGTGAAGTGTGGTCCTCATAGGTCTCAGCCGACCTTTACGCACGGTTCAAAGCAAAACCTCTTTCAAGTATTTGAGCTGGAACCTGACTTTGCTTTACATATAGGTGCAAAGTATTTGTGCTTAGGATTTTCCAGGAATAAAAGTAATTTGTAAGAAGGAGGAAGATTATACATTGCTTTATGTGGATCTTGACTAAGTTTTTTCACAGTTTGGGAAACTCATGTCATCAGTGGTCGTACCCACTTGTGGAGCCTGGGGTGTCAGTGAAAATGCTGCCCATCAGTGTTTGTAGCTGTTGTGTTCATGGTGATCCTGTGCACAGATGCAAGCATTTTGTCTACTTCTTTATATGTTTTAGAAGCTGTGAACAAATCTTTAAATTAAATAATCTAAATTAATGGAAAGTATCTACCTCTTCTTTTCCTTCTACCACTTTATACTTAGGATATTATAGTGATTTTCTTTTGAAAATTACTGTGCAGGTAGGTTATACTACTTAGATTTTAATTTCAGGATAGACAGATATGATCTAACCAATGAAACCTTGGCTGGATCTTGAAGAGCCTTGGACACCGTTGGAAGGAGCTGTGTATCTTGTAGTCTGTTGTTCCTGAAAGCATGATTCTCAGTCCTCCTAGTCAGAACCCCTGGGAGACATGTGCAACCCAGGTTCCTGGGCCCCACTCCAGAACTACTGACTCTTTGTGGAAGACTCTGGAATCTGTATTATAATAATTTTCCCCTTCACACATAGACATGATTCTTATTCCACTATCATTTGAGAACCCACTCTAGTAGACAGGAGCAGTCATTTAAGAATTTAACAAAAAAGAGGAACAGAAGCAGATTTTTGGATTACAAATACTACTCCAATGGGACTGAAGTAGTTGGTTGACGGATTTGGGGACTGTTGGCCGTGAACAAGTGAGCTTTGTATTGTAATGACTAGATGAAAAATATCGATGGAACAAAGTGGTTTATATGAAGGAGAGGCGTTATTAAAAAGTAAAATGATACTGCATCTGAGGAATAAAAGAATAAAAGAGGGGTAACCAGTGATTAGAAATGCTTTCCGTCTGGGTAGATGGCGGGACCTTTGATGAAGCTGAGGAATTCAGGAGGGTGGGTCGCTAGGCTGTGCGTTCTGGTTTAGGCACGCTGACACTTAGTTTCCTGCCTCACCTGCAAGGGGAGCGTTGAGACTGTACAGATGTGATCCGTGTAGGAGGGCAGTCGGAACGAGGGGATCATTCATACACAGGTGGTAGCTGAGGCCGATCCTTGGTATTGTCTCCTGGGGAGAGTATGGAACTTTCATTAAGGTATGTATACATGGGCTCGTTTTTCTCAGTTTGTAAACAAATCTTATTCCTATTCAGGACTCCTTCCAGGCATGGTGGTCTCAGTTATTGATGACAGAATGACTTGAAAAAATCAGATTAAGGGAATGTAATTGCATCATTACCGAATAACCTTAATTGGGGGGTAGCCTGGGAAACCCATAAGCCTTCTGATACGCAGCATGCCTCTTGGTTAGCTCTGCAGTCCAGCCTTGGGAACAAGGGTTTTCCTGAAGGAAACGAATTCCGTGGTTCATGGCATGGTAAGGAAGGTCGCACTGAAAACAGCCGCCAGTCTGCAAAATCAGTGCACTTTATAGAAAACGCATCCATGGGTCATTAAGACCCCCAAGGTAGGCGATTTTTTTTTGATCACTAAGGCCCCCAAGCTAGGTGATTTTTTTTTTACTTTTGCATTTTTTCCCCTCGGAAATATATACACTCTAGCCTTTGAAATGATCATAATTTGGGTTGAGGAACCTTCAGTAAGGAGATTCTAGCTTTGTTATCAGTCACTTCCCAGGGAATTCCTTCCTTTTCACTCATTCACATTTGAACTTAAAGATAAGATGTAACGTTAAACAAATAGACTAATGTCTTTGTTAACTGTTGACCTTTGCATGTAAAAAATCACAGCTCCTTTCTGTTGGGTTCTCCTTTCTCTGTCATTATGAGATACGTGGGTGTAAAGCCATTCCTTAAGTAAAACCTGCATATTTCTCTCCAGCTTCTGATAGTTTAATAATAAGTTGGGCAAATACTTTAAAAAGTGTGTCTTAGTCAACACTGAATTTCTTAAAGCCCAAAATCTCTGGCCCTTATTGCATGAAGCTTTCTCTGCTGGTGAGTTCCACTCTACAGTTTCAAGTTGCAAAGCCCTCGGTCTGGAGACTGACTTCACAGAGGAGAGGAGCGATAGCCTACTTCAGAGCCTTTGGCAGTGCCAGCTGTGGCTAATGTTGGGTCAGCATTTCCATCATCGTCATTCCCAACATCGGAGGGCTTTTAATGAGATTGTTAAATTTCACCACACCCTGGAATGTGAGAGTTGAGCCTGAAGCAAACTTTTTCATTTAAAATAATGCAGCTTCTCTACAAAGCCACTTAGAAGGAAGTAAAGCTAGTGATTATTGGTGTTACAGTACCCAAACTGCTTGGTTTATTTGCTGTTGCAGTGACATTAGTCTTGTAATATAAACCAATCACAACAGGAGTTTGGGAAAAAGACTATGAATGTGAGTGATATTTAATTTCGAAGGGTGTCTGTTTGAACAATTGAAACCAATTTTTCTCTCAATTTTAGCATAATTTTCAAGGCTTGTTTATCTGTCTTCTGGGGAAACAAAATTGCTTGGGGCTCAGGATGATAAATTCAATAGTAACACACAAATGCTTGGGACTTCAGGCAAGCCCCTTTTCCTCAACCTAGGAGCAAAGCAACAGCACATTGATGAAGCCATGGTACAACTCAGGCCTGCCAGAGTTGGGGTTTTTGTTGTTTAATGTATATATTTTTAATGTTTATTTATTGATTATAGAGAGAGGAAAGCAGGAGAGAGAAAAACATTGATCTGTTGTTTCACTTATTTATGCATTCATTGGTTGCTTCTTATATATGCCCTGACTATAGATTGAACCCACAACCTTGGCATATTGTGACAATACTATAACCAACTGAGCTACCCAGCCAGAGCTGAGTTGAGGCTATCTTGATTCAATAATGTGCTTTCATTTCCAGGTAAGCTCAATTCTGAAGGACCTTGCAAGGAGAGCAGATGCCTTGGGGTCTCTTTCTTTTTTTTTTTTCTTCCAGTAATGATGATGGATTTGTGTGAGTGTACCCCCATGCTCTGACCTCCCTTGTGACTAGTTGGAAGCATATGCGAGATGCTAATTTGAGTTAAGCACAAAATCTATGGCCCTGCAGCAGAAACAGTGTGATTCACATATGGATGAACCCATGACTCTGGCCTCTTTAAGACTCCATGCTTAAATCACTTAAATTACTTAGCCCATGGGTTAATGGAATGAAAGCTAAAGATTACCTTGTGTGGGTCAAGTCCTGCCAGTCTTGGCCTCTCTCTACCATGTTGTTGATAGACATTCATTCTATTTTTCTTCTTTTTACCTTGTATTGACTCATATCCTTAGCTTCTTTTTGTCTTCTTGGTGGACCTTTTCTTCCCCCTTCATAACTTCAAATAATGTAGATTTGGGAAACTATTTGTATAGTTTCTGCTGAGTACTGCACTAGGGATGAGCTCAACCTTTTCACATATATTCATTACAAAATTCAACTGGATGGACTCAAACTTATTGAGTTTGAAATGATACACATGGATATTTGTATACATACACATGGGTAATGTATGTATGCATATGTTAAAGTTAAACTAGGGCATATTTAAATTTTAATGTTTATTTGAGCAAAAATGGATTTGAATCAAGCAGTGTCCCATCTAGCGGACAGAAGGAGCTCTGAGGAGCTGTGCAAAGACTTTCGTGAGTGGAAGGAAGCAGTGACAAGGAAGTTGTACTGGGCAAAAAAGTGGGTTGGTTATTGCAAGGTTACTTTCTCTTAGGAGATGGGAGGGGCCTTTAAGGCAGATGACCTAACGTGTGCTAATCAGGTGACTCCTGACTGACTGTGCATGATTTCTATTCTGGGAGAGGTGAAACTGTGAATTAAATTTCATTTTGGTGACATGGAGTTTAGCATAAGTGACTCCATTTTGGGCCTGTTATTTTTTTTAAGTGTAAATATTTATAATCAGACTCCAGGTATCTCTGCAACTAAATAACATACCCAGTATGCTTTTTAGGGTTTCAGGGTTGCAGAA